TATTACTAAAAAACTCTCGATTATTAAAGAGAGTATTAACGATCTACTAATTCAGAAAGCAAATTTCTCATTAGAAAAATTACGAAGGACATGGTACTATAGGGGGAATAGAGCGGACAAATTACTCTCGAATAGGTTAAAGAAGGATTCTATCAAGATGAGGGTAACTAAAATCATTCAAGAAGATAAGGTTCTTTTGAATCCATCAAAAATAGGTCAGGCTTTCCAAGCATTTTATACTAAATTATACAATCTTCCAGACAGACATTCTCCAGTTAATCTCTTAGAATATTTAGAGAATTTAAATCTGCCAAAAATAGCGAAATTTCAACTACAAAATTTAAATGAACCTATAAATTTAGAAGAGGTCAACCAAGCCATAGATAGACTGAAAATTTCTAAGTCTCCAGGCCCGGATGGCTTCACAAATAAATTTTATAAATCTATGAAAGAAAACTTAGCAAATATTCTGAGGGATACATTTAATGAGTTTATGTTAAAAGGTAACATCCCGCCGGAGATGCTGAGAGCTAATTTGGTTCCTATTCTTAAACCACAAAAGTCTTCAGAGTTAATAACTAATTATAGACCTATCTCGTTATTGAATGAAGATTTAAAACTTTATTCCTCAATAATGGCAAGTAGATTAAATGGAATTATGATGGATATAATCCATAGGGACCAAGTGGGCTTTATTTCCAAACGCTCTTCGGTATATAATGTCAGACGTCTTATAGACGTAGTGGATTGGGCCCAGTCGAGGAAATGTTCCCTCCTGATCCTGTCTTTAGATGCTGAGAAAGCATTTGACAGGGTCAGGTGGGACTTCCTCGACGCGGTCCTACAAACCTTTGTCCTTTTTGGGAATATAAGAAAAGCAATAATGGCCCTATACTCAACTCCTTCTGCAAGAGTTATGGGAGCTGGATTCAGCTCAGATTTTTTTTCGTTGAAAAACGGGACAAGACAGGGCTGCCCGCTTTCACCCCTTCTCTATTTAATGACAATAGAAGCCCTAGCTGTAGCAACAAGGAAAAATGAGGCAATAAAGGGCCTTAATTTTAAAAATGATTGCATCAAACTAACAATGTATGCTGACGATATTGTATTAACCCTAGCAGATCCTCTAAACTCCTCTATAGCTTTCTTTAATACCTTAGATGAATACGCTTTACACTCAGGCTATAAAATTAACGTTAATAAGTCGACTGCACTACTAATGAATACCCCTCAGGATATAAGGGCAACACTTAGGCAGAGATTTGAATTTAATTGGGCAGAGGTATCCTTTAACTATTTGGGAATCGAAATAGCAAATGACGTTAATATTATCATGGAACTTAATTTCCTTTCTCTTCTCAGAATTACTGCAAGGAAACTGAAAAATTGGAAGAATTTAGAGATTTCATGGTGGGGCCGCATTAATGTAGTTAAATCTTATATTATCCCAAAATGGGTTTATTTATTTAGAATGGTGGCCTTACCGTGTCCGGACAGTTGGTTGACCTTAGCTCAATCCCTTTTGAATAAATTTATATGGTTACATAAGCCTCCAAGAATATCCCAAAAACGTTTAGCCTTAAAAGTGAAAATGGGGGGCCTGGGAGTTCCTATTTTAAAGGACTTCCAGAAAGCTGCGACTTTTACACACGCAGTTATTACTCAATTAAATGATAGTAAGAATGAGATATGGTACAAGATAGAACAAGACCTTACTTCAACTGAGGGATCACCGTTGGAGTTGTCTGTGCTCTTTTGGCCCTTAAAATTAGAGACCGATCATAAGGTAAACCCCATTTCATCTAGTGTTATCCTGAACAATGTCCTAAGAGGGTGGAAAAAAACTAAAAACTCACTAGGTCTTTACAATAAGTTAATCCCTTCCCTTTCCTTAAGGAATATGGCTCATTACATGACTAATTTTAACTTAAAAAGCTGGATTGAAAAAGGCGTATATAAATTTCAAGACTTAATGGATAGAAATGGATGGATGGATTTCCAAACTTTAAAACAAACATATAAAATAGATAATAAGGAGACTTTTAATTACCTTAGGCTAAAAGGCTTTTGTCACCAATATGTTATCACAGAAAGGTATGATCGTTTAAGGGATATAAGAAATATCCTTGATAGGGATTCTCCAAAAAAACTATTATCTATGGGATTAAATTTATTGCAAAATAACTTAGATAAACCTCTAGAAGCTATAATTAATTCTTGGCAAAGAGATTTGGGTAATCAGATTACTTGTAACCAATGGAGAGAAGCTCTAAATTTGATCTATAAATATATCCATTGCCTCAACCTGGTGGAATGCCATTTTAAAATCATAAATAGATGGTATATGGTCCCCAGTAAAATTAAGAAGTTTAATAGTTCAGGTGACTCCATTTGCTGGAGATGCAACGTGGAGTGCGGGAACTATCTACATATATGGTGGGACTGTAGGTATATACAGAAGTTTTGGAAAATGATCTTATCTAGGATAAAACTTATTACTTTGATTGACTTACCGATGGTACCACAGATATGCCTTTTACAATTAGATATTCGCCAGGTTAGTAGTAATTCACTGCCGGTTATCTTGCATATACTTCTAGCCGCGAAACTTTCCATCGCAAGGTACTGGAAAATGGAGTTGGTGCCCTCCTGGCCAATAGTTAAGGAACAAATCAAATATCAACTGAAAATGGAAGCTGGGTTAAATATAAAACATCAAGAACGTTATAACTCCTGGTTGGTGAAGTTAGAGGCTGTTGCTGACTTATAGATAGATGTCCTGAATCTCTCTGGGCCTAAGTTGAGATTGACACTATATTAAATGTGACCACATATGACCATTTGATGTTTTGTCTTGTTATGTCCTTTTTGTATGTGAGTTATTTACAGTGAGATCTTTAAACAACATAGGGATTTACTAAATGTAACTATACTACTTCATGCCTATGTGGGTAAAAGTAATGTTTACCGATATGTGTGTCTCACTGTATAAGTTATTTATGGGATGTTTTGTTAATTTTATCTTCTTTTTTGTCAAACTCTATTGTGTTAAAAAATAAAAAAAATAAAAAAGTGGAGATGATATCTCCGAATAAAGATTATAAACTGAAAAAAAAAAAAAAAAGATTGATGGGAGGGGGATAAGATAAGATTTGGGAGACATATGGCTGGTGATTGAAATAAGTGGGGGTTTGAGCAACAAGGCTTGAGTAAGATGTTTATGAAAATGAATTTAGTCAAGGATAGAAAATTACCACTGGTATTTGAGTTACAAGGAGAAATTAGTGTGTGTAGGGGAGGTCATACTAGAGCAGGCAAGAAACTAGTCTGGAACATAAATTATTATAACACTTGTGCAAAGAGAGACAATTTGGTTCAGTGGAATCAATTCTGTCAACATTTATTTTTCATTTGGTCAACCAAATTTTGTTGACATGGCATTTCAATATCATCCATATAAATCAATGGATTGTTGCTGGGCACTGAGGACTGGTTTGGGAACCACTGATATAAGTGACTTGGGGAAACCTATTCAGACAAACCAAAATGATGCAATAATAATAATAATAATAATACAAATATTTTGCAGTACAACGACAGATTCCAAGCTACTAGCAACAGGCTCCCACCCTGACTGGCTAACACAAGGCAGAAGGACAAAGGAACAGCACAATCCAACTACAGACAACCTGCCTCCCTACAGCATGAATGACCAATCTGTGTACGGCCTGGATTGACTACAAGAAAGCCTATGACACAATGCCACACACATGGATACTGGAATGCTTGGCTCTCTACAACGTCAGCAAGACAAAAAGAGAACTCAATGGGCAAGTGGAAAACAACTCTAGAAGCCAATTCCAGGACAATAATGCAAGTGAACATTAAATTAAACAAGGTGATGCGCTACCCCTAACCCCTTAGCCAGATCATCAAGAATAGTGGATACGGATACAGGTGCATATTTTCCTAAGTTGTGTTTCAAAGCTGTTGTATACAGCAGACACAGACTCAAAGGAATCCATGTTTAAAATTGAATGAGGCAAAAATGTGATTCTTTGTTAAAATAATTTGCATATGCCCACCTTTGCGGTAGTAACATCATTGCAGATTTGTGGTTTCTGTGGGAAAAACAAGTCTTATGGCTTGACTGGTGTGCAGATTTTTGTTTAACATCATATTAACTATCCACAGACTTCAGGTGGAAGGGGTTTTCAATCACAATATTTCCCCCCCATAAGCTTTTTGGTTTTTGCTTCCCTATATGTATATATAATGCCAAAAAATAGCTGCTCACCGGTCTTTAAAATACAAATTCTTTATTAAGTCAAGATAAAATCAGTGACCCTGATATGTTATCTTGACTTAATAAAGAATTTGTATTTTAAAGACCAGTGAGCAGCTATTTTTTGGCATTGTATGTTTGGAGTCCAGGCTTTGGCACCCGGCAATTGAGCAACTACTAAGTGTGAGTGCAGGGAATATATATATATATATAAAAATAAATAGCAAAAAGTAATGGCTGCTCACCGGACTTAAGAACAATTTTTTTTTATTGAATCATGTTAAAAATCGTTTCAGTCCCCGTTCGGGACTTTCTTCAACCCTGTTGTCCTGTTATTCAGACCCTGAATTAAGCCCCGATAGGGGACTGAAACGTTGGTCGATATTTAACATAATTCAATACTTTTTTTTGTTTTTAAGTCCGGTGAGCAGCCATTCCTTTTTGCTATTTGTGTCTATCTATTGGAGCTCTGGCGTATGTACCTGGCGTTGAAATCAACTAAGCGTGAGTGCAGGTTTTTGTTTTGTTTATATATATATATATATATATATATATATATATAAAACTTTCCACGTGACCCACCCTCACTGGTCTTGAAAAAAGTCCGGCAAGGACTGAAACGTCGACACTTCTTTGTATTACTTGATGCTTGAATAAACAGCACGATTAGAAATATTATTGAGTCCTGTGAGTGTACTTCAACAAGAACCTATATATATATATATACAGCCAAAAGTACAAGATAGCACTCCAGGGACTTCCAAGTTGAATGAATAAAACTCCTGGAGTGCTATCTTGTACTTTTGGCTGTATCTGTTTGCTGTATAAGCACCGGGCAAGTACATCAAGGAAGGTGGAGTGCATTACTATTTTTGTTTTATATATATATACATATATATACTATATATATATATATATATATATATATATATATATATACATACAAAAATTGGGTTGATATATATATATATATATATATATATTTATATTCTTTTTTATATATATATTTATATATTTTTTTTTTTATCATCAATCTGGATTCTTTAAAATTACTTGTCAATATATTGTACTAAAATTTACATTATGACACATAAGTTCTATTTTAATTTAGCATATGGCCACCAGCATGACAGTTATAGTAATTAAAATACATAAGTTGTTCAGAAAGAAAAAAGCTTCAGTAAGTTCACATATCACTCAACCAACATTTGAAAATGTTCAGAAAAGGTTTTCCATGTTAATAGGAAGCTGATAATTCAAAAAGACATTTTGAAATAACACCTCTCAGTCTCAACACAGATAATGATACATCAACAGTTCTGCTTCAGCATTTTCAACACTCGACTTTGTGCGTAAGCAAGAAATTAAAGTGTGAACAGACATGTTCTGAGTTATTTACAGTTACATTATTTATTTTTCAGGATTTGTGCAATCATGCATCCGCTGCATATATTAAAATTTTACACCTCCATTATTTGACAACTAACACTGTATAATCTATGATCATTACTTACAATCCACAGTTCAATATGGTAATGTGTTTAATCTATATATTATTAGCATTATATCTCCATTATCATTTGGATGATTATAAAAAAGCCTAGAGGGGAATTATGTATTTGTTAGACTACATTATTATACCAAATAAATTGTATGTACATTTAAAGACAAACTGCATTGCAGAAGGTTCTAAATTCAGAACACATCTAACAGAGGAAAATTTTAGGATACTGACAAACCCGGACAAAATAGCCAAATTCAGTCGGCTATGTTGGAGAGTTAAATTAACTTTGAATTCACTATGAATTCTCACTTGTAAATAACCCTGGTAGTCCTGATCTGATATTCATGAGCACATCCAGATGTTATATGTCATAGTTGTGTACAATGGGTGTGCCAGGTGTAACTTTAAATGATGTCAGTTTGTAATTTATGATCTTTACTGGTCCAAGTCAGCTCAACAGTATCTGTCTACATTAGGATAAAAAACACAAAACTTGACTGTATGGTTTTGTTTTCTTTTATGTCTGCAGCACAAATGTGGTATTTTGTGACCCAGATTCAAATTATAAAAATAAAATGTAAATAATTTTGAACAATAATGGTCGTTTCAGATATTGTTTAGGGATCAAAACCGGATTGTGTTGATTACATTAAAGAAAGAATAATGTTTTTGCTACTTTATAAGCCTTAATTCCTTGCAGTAATACAATGCCTTGGCCTTTCCAACTCAAATTGTAGCAGCAAACATTACCGAGTACCAAGTAAGAGTACCGGGAGTTAAATAAAAATAAAGAATTAAAAATAAAAATAAAGATAAAACAAATGTATGGCACGCTGACATTAATTGATACAAATAAATTGCTGGAGCTGAAATGGAAGTAAATTATTCTGTGTATGTGTCTGCTTTCATTTAGACTGTCAATATATTTATGTTATATTTAGTTGACTTTTATAACTTTTCCTAGCTTTATCTGTCATTTTGTATATATGCAATTTTAGAGAATTGTATGAATAAAGTAAAATTTTTTATTTTAATTTTGTGTGCATTTTTTATTTTATAAAAAAGTTAAAAAGTGCACAAGTAATTATCAAATATTTTTAAAAAAAGATTAGATTTATGCACAAACCTCGCACATTTGTGCTGAACGATTCATATGCTTGTCAATCACTGGACGAATGAATTGATTTGTTTGTCTATCAATTAACAGGAATGTGATTTGTTTATCACAGCTCAAGGGGATTTGTGCACAAGTCTATAAAAGATACGCAGCTGAATATGACAGCTATGAACGTAATCACTAATCTGTGACTTGTGGTGTATTAACAACCAGCTTTGATTTATATAATTCTGACTCCCTTTATCTACGTGGGAACGTTCATCATTCCCTCCTAACAGTATGTCAAGTTCTATTTTATTTCACCTATAAAGTGCACTTATCATAGAATTGAATAAATTATGTTTTATATATTACACCATTGGTTCTCCCCTTGCACATTTTCCTTAGTTGTAATATCTCTTAAGTATCTCTTCTCGAACTGCAGCACTCGGAATCCTAAGCACTAACTTTAAAGAATAAGACTTCAGATTTCTTTTTTGCTTCATTTTATTCATCTGTTCATGTATTCATCAATTTGATTTCCTCATCTCATCATGCATTATTTTTGATTGAGATTCATCCTACATCATTTTCGTGATTTGTTCATCCACATTATCCTTTCAATATTTTAAACAATACTTCAAAGTAAATATTCAACTCCCTTCCAGCAAATATATCAAATATATTATGTTCAAGTAGAGATTGTAGCCGTATTAGTACAGAGATGTAGATGTAAAAAAACACATACAATTTGTATCTTGTAATACCTTTTTTATTGGACAAACAGAATTTTTTAATGACAAGCTTTTGAGAGAAACTCCCTTTTTCAAGTCTGAAGCATTTCTGAGCAAGACAACACATAGCATTCAAAGTTGAGCTGTGATACAGGGGTTAAAGCGACATCACATCGCAGATCTTCGCATAAGATATTTATGACCCTCTGCAATAATGGTGCCTATGTTCTGTCAAACCTGTCTTATCTGCACTCATGTCACTTTAACCTGATTCCAGCTCTGATGTCACTCAGCACTAGGTCAGGCTCCACCTCTGTTAATGCGCAATGAGCACATTAGAACTACCCCATAGGAAAGCTTTGAATAATTTATTTCTTATAGAGTTTTAGCTAAAGCTGGATGTCCTCATGTAGAGCGTGAAGATGTTCAACATCAGTTAGGTGACCAAAAGTTACCTAACCACCAGGAAGTGTCTCTAGTGGCTGTCTGGTAGACAGCAAGTAGAGGTGGAGTTAACCCTGCAAAGTAATTATTGCAGTTTATCAATAACTGCAATAATTACAATTACAGGGTTAAGCTGACAGGGGCACTGCACCCAGACCACTTCTATAGATAGATATATCGATATAAATATATATATATATATATATATATATATATATAGATATATACAAATGAAACCAAGAGGGCTGCACTCACATAAACATGCATACATTATAGGGTGCTGCTGGGGCCAAAATATACAAAATACAGAATCCAGCGCACTCGCTTATTCACTAAACAATGCTTTCAAAATTTTAGAGATTGTAATAGTTTTATTTAAAAACACCTCACCTAGGCAAAAAATAATGGGGGTTTAGTTACATTATATGATCATATATTGCATAAGCCTGCCACAACGTCAATGTACCCCATTCTTGGCAGGTCCTAATCTAGCAGCCTAATGCTTGCCCTTATGAGATTAATCCACTTACTTGGGAAATACTTCCTTACTGGGACTCTCTGTAAGTCAAGGCTAAATAGGGTCCTGGAATGAGGCACCTGTGACAGGGAGGGGTGCAAGGTATACATATTTTGAATTGAATTGCAATGTTCCAAATATAAAATTGTTAAGAAAGGACTAACATCCAACTAATGTTCTGAAATGTAACTGGGAGAGATGTAAAAAAAAAAAAAAAAAAGAGTTTCTGATGGTAAAAATTATCAAACATCAAACCAATTACACTTAATCAATGTATAAGTGCATGTAGGAAGTAACAATAATCTAAATTAAGATCTTGACATCTAAATGGAGCTATTCTCAGATCTCAATTATAATGAGAGAGTAAGAATGTCTTGGTGTTCATTCAAACTCAAGCTGGCATTATCAATACGGTAATACATTGTTAGGAAACCCATATTGATGGAGATCATAAAAAAAACAACTTTAAAGTTCTACTTTGATGTCACATCAACTGCCTTTTTCTTGGATTTTTGCTGGTTCTTCATTTACTATCCTATTAATTTGTTACCACATTTGTCAAACAGATCCTAGTAATTTGAGTGTTTGAAACCAAATTAGCATAATATTTGAAGCATATGTTGCACAGCTAACATTATATAAAAACAGTTAAAATCTGTACAGATTCTTTTTGGAATACCTCATTTATAAAATTAATGAAAACTAGTGCCCTTTTTAAAATTAATTGTTTATAATGAAGGTGATTATTATTTTATTTTTTTATACATCTTTTACAGGCATAATAATGAGATGTTTAGGTATTAAACATTTTTACACAGGGTTTCACATGTTTGCAATATATTACACAATAATCTGAAATATTGGCATAAAAACAGATTTGGTGCTTTATCGCATGTAGAACATATCGCAAATATAAATAAATAAAAATGGTCAAATGTCCTAACTGTGTATTTGTACATTTATGAGAATGAAGATTTTGTAAAATGTGGTAGTAATAAAAAAAATAATGATAGTAAGTACAGTTAGATCAAATGCAAGCACTGTGTGGCATGTTAGAGGCTTAATATAGATCTTAGCCTCTTTCTATGATGTGTAGAATACAGCCATGACGTTTGATCTAAAAAATTTGTCGTAGAGTGTGAAAAGTCATCCATTGATATCCCCTCTGCAAAAAAGCAGAGGATTAAAATGGAACTCTAGCAGATAAATCCAGCTCTACTCACATTCACTGAGATAGAGGAACTTAATTTATTCTTTTATTTATTGGGAGTCTGATGTTGACGGGTTTAAGGTGTCAGGCTAAGTTTTAAATATACAGTTTTAAATATACAAATGTATGTGCATTTATAAATCACTGCATTATCGAGTAGGCTAGTTAATTTTAATAATGCACTCTTAGCAATGCCTTGATAATCTTTCCAAGCATACTTTTTGTTCTAGTGAATATATTTTATGTATGAAGCTGCAAACCAAAAATATACAATAAAAGAATGATCAAGTATCTATAAAATATATGGGAG